CTCCGAGGTCTGGGGGAAGAGGGACTGGGGGCCCGGACTCCCTGATCTGAGGGAGGAGGGGCTGGGGGCCCGGACCCCTGGGTCTGAGGGAGGAGGGGCTGGGGGCCCGGACCCCTGGGTCTGAGGGAGGAGGGGCTGGGGGCCTGGACTCCGAGGTCTAGGGGAAGAGGGACTGGGGGTCCAGACTCCCGGGTCCAGGGGAGGAGGGGATGGGGGGCCCGGATCCCAGGTCTGAGGGAGGAGAGGCTGGGTGTCTGGGCTCCGAGGTCTGGGGGAGGAGGGGCTGGGGGCCGGGTCGCGGGGCCCCTCACCCTCCAAGCTGATGACCAGCGGCTCGCTGCGCCGCGACAGCACGTAGGGGGAGGAGGGCGTGTGGTAGTAGCAGCTGTAGGTGCCGGCGGCGCTGGCGCCGAGCAGCGGGAAGTCGGCCCAGGGCTGCGGCGAGTCGCGGTACTGCACCGGCGCCGCCTCGCCCTCGCGGTACAGCGCGAAGCTCATTCCCCGCCAGCGGCCGGCGCAGCGCAGGCTCACGTTGGCGCCGGGCGCCACCACCGGCCCCGGCAGCGCCACCAGCGTCGGGGCTGGTAGCTCGTCTGCAAGGGGGGAAGGCGGGGACCGAGGGCTGGCGCCGCCCAGCGTCAGCTGGTCGACTCCCTCTCTCTCCCACCTTCCCCCTACTTTCCCTCTCTCTGTTCCCCGCCCCCCCTTCCCTGTTTTCCTGCGTCCGTCTCCCCCCTCTCCTACTCTCTCAGCCTTTACCTCCCTCTCTCCTTTCGTCTCGGCCAGTGTCTCCATGTGTCTCGCCTTCTCTGTGTGTCTGCCTCAGCTTCTCTGTCTCCCTGAGGGTCTCCGTGCCCCTGTGGCCTCCTGTGTCTTCGTCCCCAAGCGTGTCTTTCTCTGCATCTCTGTCTCTCCTTCCTTGTAAGTCCCTTTTCCCTCTGTGCCTGTGTCTCGCTAAAATTCTATGTTTTTCTGTCCCCATCGGTGCATGTTTCACTCCCTTTGGGTCTCGGGTGGTGTGTCTCCTTCTGATTTTTCTCCTTGTGTTTCTATGTCTCTCCCAGGGTCTCTCCACCTCGGCACTAGTGACATTTTGGATAAATCTGGATAATTCTTTGTTATATAGGGGAAGAGGAGCTGTCCTGTACGTTATAAGATGTTTTGCAGCATCTCTGGTCCCTACGTACGGGATGCCGGTAGCACACCCTCCTTCAGTCATAACAACCAAAAATTGTCTCCAGATATTGCCACAGATCAGCTGGGGGGCACAGTTGCCCCTGGTTGAGAATCACTCCGGTTTCTCTTGGGTTCTCTCTTTCTCTCTCCATGTAGCTCTTTTTTCTATGTGTCGTTGTACAAGCCTGTCTCTGTATGTCTCTCTCTCTCTCTCCTCCTTCCTCCCTCATACCGCGTCTGTGTCCCTTCTCTCCCACCCACAGGACCTCACCTGTCACCAGCAGTTCCAGGGCATCACTGAGTTGGGAACAGACACCCGGCCTCCAGCCTCGCTTCTTGTAGCAGCAGCGGTAACTGCCTCCCTGTTCCGTGGTCACCTCCTCCAGGAAGAACTCCGCCAGCTCCAGGAACACATCCCGTTGCAGGATGGACTCAATCTCTCCAGATTTGAAGAGTTCAAACCTCCAGGCAGGTAGGGGCGCCCTGCACCTCAAGGTCACGTTGACCCCAGGGGTCACAACTGCGGCCGGCTGAGCCCCCAGCCGCGGCTTGGGGTATAAGGCTGGGGGGACTGAATAAATGAGGATGTCTGGGTCCTCGGGCTTCCTGAGAGCCCAAGGAGATGAAAGGGAAGTTGAGATAGGAGGAGAAGCACCTGGGGCAATGACTGCCCCTTTCTCAGCCTCAGTGGCCTGTTTGTAAAATAGGGGAGGTGCTGAACCCCAATTGAGGCTTATCAAAATGAGCTGTCAGTCAAAGGACCAGAGCATCAACTCCTGAGCTTACAAACACATGGGTTTGTCAAGGGGATGGGTTCATGAAATCTGCGATTTTAAATTGCTCTCCAGAATATCTGTAACATAGTCAACATATTTCAGTAGTTGCCAAAACTTGCTGTCTATTGGGGGGGAAAAAAAAGTTGGATCCCTACCTCACACCATTCCCCCAAACAAATTCCAGATTAATTAAACACCTACATGTGTTTTTAAAAAAAAAAAAAAAAACTATAAAAGTATTAGAAGAAAATATATTTGTTTTGTGGATAAGGAAGCCTGTCTTAAAATATAAAATGAAAAATTCAGAAGAGACAAGGTTAATTCACCACTTCAACATTTTAAAGTTGTGTATTAGAAAAAACAAATAAATGAAGCTAGAAGACAACTGACAGCACTGGCAGGACTAACTTAGTCATAAGCCACATAGATTAAGAGTATAGAAAGAAATCCAGAGCCAACCCAATTGAAAGTTGGGCAAAACATATGAGAAGACAATTCACAGAAGAGGAAGTCCAATTGACCAGAACACATTTGGGCGGGGGGGGGGGGGGGGGGGGCGCCGCAGGGTGAAAGTTGCTCAAAATTAAAACAGGTTGTCAAAAATTAAAACAATAGTTAACATTCCGTTTGGGTGAATGTGTAGTGAAACAGGCACCCAGGTGCACTTGAGTGCACCTTTTGAGAATGCAATTTGTCAGTTTCTATCAAGATACACAAAGAGCGTGACCAATGACCACATAATTCCAACTGCTCTACCCTAGACTAATGCATATGCATGGGCACAAAAAGCTCATACAGAAGCATTGATCGTGAGGGGCAAGACTGGGAGCAACCCAAACATACGGCAAGAAGGCCAAATAAACTAGAATCCAGCCAAATGCTAGACAGCATTTAAAAAGAGAAAATAAAGGTACAGCTGGCAATAATGACGTGGAACTATCTCCAAGAGAGATTGTAAAGTGAAAAATGTAAGATGCGGAACTGTGTGAGTCACGAAATATCAATTTTGCCTTGGCAAGAAAACAAAGAAGTATATAAATACATGCATCTGTTTGAATGCATGGAAACTTTCTGTAAGGATCCAGAGATTATTTAAGGAAGATGAGGAAGGGGAAGAGAGAGGCTGTTATATGTCCCTTGAGAATGATTGAATTTTTAAAACCATGAATATATATTAGCTTTATCATTTAAAAATAAATTGATACCTAAGGTAGTAACGGTTCTCCAGCTGGTTCTTATCTGAGGTTGGAGTGTAGCAGGGGGAAACTGAGAGAAAGAAGAGGTCTTATCTGTCCAAAAGCCTGGAAAGAAACACAGGGCTATCTCAGGGTAAAGGACCCTACTTTTGCGGAAACGGGGTTACAAAAGCGGGAATAATTGGCTTTACCAGAGACCCTATTTACTGAGCCCTGCACTATGCCAAGCCCTGAGCCAAGGGCTTTTACACATGTGATTTTATTAAATCTTCACAACAACCCATTTCACAAAGAAACTGAGTCTTAGCAAGCAGTGGTTTGTTCAAGGTCGTAAATGAGTAAGATGGTGAAACTGGGGTTCCAGCTTAGGTCTTTTTAGCTCCAAAGTCCATGGCCTTCACTACTCACCCATACTGGTCACTAAGGGGAGTGAGGGAGGAAGGAAGGAAAGAAATAATGGAGGGAGGGAGGGAAGGAGACTAGGCAAGAAGGCGTGGGAGGAAGGGAAATAAGGAAGCCTGGGGTGAGGTTGGGCACCAAAATGAAATCTGAGCAGTTGGGAATGGGGTGTCAGCAACATGCAGAGGAGTGGATGGGTCTGTTACTCACCGGTCGGAGTGGTATACGTGTGACACAGACGCCCTGTAGAAGGTTGAGGGGGCTAGGTCTTTTCCAAGCCCTAGGCTTCTCCCAGCCCCACCTCATTGGGAACCCAGGAATCTGAGTCCCCAGGCCCTCTTTCCTCTGAGAAACAGGAATGTTACCCCTATTTCTCCTGTCTCTGTAGCCATAAATCCAGACCTCCAGTCCCTACCTACTTAAGAAGCCAGAAGGCTGGAGCCAGCCCCCTCTTGCCTCGACACCCAAGAGTTCAGGCCCTTGGACCCCACCTTCTCTGGCAGACAATAATCTTGGCCCACAGTTTCTCCTCCCTGGGGTTCAGGAGTCTGAGCTCCCAGCTCCCTCCTTTCCCGGGGATCCAGGTGTCGTGGCTTCCATCCCCCTCCCACATCAGAATCTGGGACTCTATACTCCCTCGTCCCCAGATGCTCAGGTCTCCAGCCCCTCCTTCCTCTAGATCCAGAGAATCCTGCCCCCAACTCCGTCCTCTTCCAGGAACCCAGGTGTTTGGGGACCCTCTGTCTTCTGACTTTAGAAGGGGGTGGGGTGGCTCACAGAGGCTCAGCAGCTGGAGGAGCAGCACCAGTGCCATCGTGGGCAGGTCTTGGCCGGAGTGGAAGCAGGAACCAGGGCTTGGCCTGCTCTCTCACCTCCCAGGAAATGAGGCAACTTCAGAAAGCCAGAACCAGGTCCTGTTTAGGGAAGGGCGGAGCGAGGTGGGGGCCCCTGGGTGACTGTATCACAGCCCCATGCTGTGGTGGAAAAAGTTGGGATTGGAGCAGTCATAACCTTGTGTTCATTAATTAAGCTTAAAAGAAAAAAAACTAGCACCTATTATATGCCAGACCCTGTGGCCCGATTCTGGGGACAGAGAGGAGTCAGACCACATTCGGGCACTCAAGCGGCTCAGTCTGATGGAAAGACGGATCCAGACCAGGTCAGTTAAAAAGAAAAGAAAAGAAAAGAAGTGATGTGCACTATAATGGAGGTCCCATAGGACACTGTGAGAGTCCACAGAAGATCCCTAACCCGCCTGGGATGAGAGGCAGGACTTCCAGGACGAACTGATATTGAGCTGAGACCTCAAGAGATAGGTCAGTCCATTCGTCCTCTCCCAGCCTCTGTTTCTCCACCTGTAATGGGCTTTGATAAGTAAACTATAAAATGAGGACTACTGCACTCTGCCTGAGCTGGGTCGCAGCAGGAGGACTGGAAGTCACTCCTGGGGAGCGACTTTTAGGTTGAGAGTGAAGAGAGCGCAGTGGCAGGTATGCCAAGACATGCTTTCACTTAAAGCTGGGGCGCCGCCTCCGTTCCAGCGGCTGCCCCGGACTTCTGTTCTGCGACTGGCACACGCGTGGCTCACTCAGCGAAGCCTCGCGCGCAGGGACCACAACTCCCAGAATGCTCCACGCTCTCGCCACCGCCTTGGACCGGTGTTTTGCGCCAGTGCGCACGCGCAGACTCAGTCAGCGGCGCCTCTCGTGCCCGGACTACGATTCCCAGAGGGCTCTGCGACCTCGCTGCCTCCGAGACCAAGATGGCTGCGAGTAAGTGCGGGCGCCGCAGGTGCGCGGGGCGCGGGTAGTTCCGGGAGCCCAGGCGGCCAGGTGTAGGGCGCGGCGGAGCCCTCGTGGAGGCAGTGGGGTCCAGGCCAGAGGGGGTCGCGGAGGTCACCAGAGGGCTCTTCCAGGGCGGGGGTGGCGCGAGGGGGTTAGAGGTCACTGGGGGCATCCCCTGCAGGGGTGACACTCCACGCCCACCCATCTAGGACTCGCCGCCTTCCTCAAGAATGCCTGGGCCAAGGAGCCGGTGCTAGTCGCCTCCTTCACCATTGCGGGCCTCGGTGCGTGAGCGGCAACGTGCATCACCCCCAACCGGCGTCCCGGCCTCCCCTCCCCTCCCCGCCTAGGTCCCCTCGCCTTACACCCCGCCTCCATCACCCCGCCAGTGTCCATCCTGTCCCCCGAGACCCCATCACCGCCCTCAGCGTTCTGTATCGCCACCAGCGTGCCACACGCCACGACGCCCCCTGGCTTACCCCCTTCCCTAATACGATGGCCCCTTCACCACCCCCACCCCGACACACCGACCCAAGAGGCCCCTAATCCCTCCAAAAGAGAGGTTCTCAACCTTGGCTGTGCATTCAGAACACCTGAGCGCCAAAAAGAAAAGAGAAAAATAATGTAGGAAGCCTCCCCCCTTTCACCATCACCCCCCAACAGTTTCTTTTTTTTTTTTTTTGAGGAAGATTAGCCCTGACCTAACATCTGCTGCCAATCCTCCTCTTTTTGCTGAGGAAGACTGGCCCTGAGCTAACATCGGTGCCCATCTTCCTCTACTTTATATGTGGGATGCCTACCACAGCATGGCTTGACAAGCGGCGCCGTGTCTGCACCCGGGATCTGAACCAGTGAACCCCGGGCTGCCAAAGTGGAACGTGCAAACTTAAATGTGCACACTTAACCGCTGTGCCACCGGCAGGCCCCCTTGCAACAGATTCTGAATGGAGTTAGGCGGGGTTGGGGAATCGGCCTCATGTGAAAATCCCTGATTCTAAGGTGCTGCCCTGATTGAGAAGCTCTGCTCTGGGACAGGGCTACTGGAGCATGGGGCTCACTTGTGGGTGGGAAGTGTCTTGTTAAAAATGCAGGCTCTGATCTAACAGGTCTGGGGTGGGGCCTGGGATTCTGCATTTCTAAAGAGTTCCCAGGTCTTGTTGATACTGTTGGTGGGCACACCACACACTGGGTTAAGGTTCCAGAACACAGTTGTCCCATTAGGCAGCCACGGGCCACACGTGGCCGCTGGAAATAGGGCTAGTATGAATTGAGATGGTATGTTATGCTCATGTGAAGTGCAGCCGATTTCAGAGACTATGACAAAAAGCATATAAAATATCTCAATTTTTTCCAAGTTGATTCTATGTTGAAATGATGTTTTGAGTATACCAGCTTAAATATATTTTAAAAACTAATTCTGTATGTTTTAACTTTACTTTTAACATGGCTCTTAAAAATGTAAAATTACATTTCTGTCAGGCAGCACGGACCTGGAACATTCCTTTATATGCCCTACCCCACCCCTCACGCCCAGGACTCCTGGCTCCCACCCTGGAGGGACTGTAATTTCTCAGCGACCTTCCTTGTACAGCCCCTCCCTCCCTCAGGTTCTAATAGTTCATGATTCCTCTGGAACACTCCCAAGCCCCCCCCACCCGCCATGCTCCATGACCACGTCTACACTCAAATGCACTCATTCCATGAGCACGCCCACCCCTTCCCTCCTCTGTGCCCTCTAGGTTCCACTATCCCTGAGAGCTTGACTCCCACCCCCTCCTCCAAAAGAAAAGAGTTATAAACCCTTCTGATGTATGGGGATCTCAGGGTGCCCAGAGGAAAGGGGCCTCCTGGAGGTGCTGGACCTCTCTGCTCCCCTTCCTCCATGCATTTGACCCCCACTTTGCCAAGGTTCAGCCTCTCCCCACTCTCCCCCCTTCTCCCCTCCAAAACGGCCTTCCCCTGGGCCTCACCCCTGTTTCTCCACAGCTATAATTCTGCCCATCCTCAGCCCCTACACCAAGTACTCCATCATGATCAACAAGGCGACACCCTACACCTACCCAGGTGAGTGGGAGCCGGGGGGGGGGGGGGGGGGGGGGGGGGAAAAAAGAAGGGCAGGTCTCCTCAACAGGTCTCTGAGCTTCTGCAGTGCAGTCTGGACTTTTCTGCCCTTTCTCCTTTTTTTTCTTTGTATTGGCTGAGGAAGATTCGCCCTGAGCTAACATTTGTGCCAGTCTTTCTCCACTTTGTATGTGGGTCACCGCCACA